AAGGAGCATGTGACTCACGTGTACATGCGTGGGCAAATTACTAATTAGGGGATGTGCCACTGCTGAAGATGTTTTGACATGGCCATATATATAGCGGTAACACATGCAGCTGCCTGAATATAGATGGTGTGTATTAACTCATTAAATCATGATCGCCTCGAAATGTAATAGCTTGCACATGAACAAAGCACATTTTATCTGACTGAAACTGTGCCATTGCCTAGTGCCCCATCTAGGATAGCACATTATCTAAAACTCCCATTAGATCGCTGTATCGTGTATTGCAGATGCCAACACATAACTGCTTCTACATTCTAGTTTAGAGACATGTAAAATCACTCATATACCAATATGTGAGCGCCAACAACTCTTGTTGGGTTACATTACAGCTAGTCTAGCTAAATCGTGTGATGTCATTTGATGCACCATTCGAGCAAAGATGATACCACTTTGCAATAAATTCATAATCGCAGTGGTTTATTGTCCATTGTATGTTGTAGCCATGCTGCTTTCAGTTATATAGCCTTCACAGAACAAGCACAGTCAGTGCAGATAAGGCTAACGTGCAGTGAGGCTCATAGGGTCTATGTCGGCCCAGGGTACTGCGAGCTGAACCGCTGGTAGGGTTCGATATATCGGAAGCATATTCCTGGCATGTAACTATTAGTGATATGGTTAGGGTTAGGCTAGGGTTAGGGTAGGGAGTAGGCGTAGGCGACTCCTCAAAACGACGCAGGCTCTCGCCTGTCAGCACTGTCGTAGGAACGTGTCAACGTAGTGCTTACGCGAGAAGGGAACTTGTGGCTAGCGACTCCCCCTAGACATCGTTAGTGGAGTGGCGATGTACGAGTCCGGCATATTAGATATGTACAAGGGTAGTTCCGATATATCGACGCGTACCCAGGGTACCTCCGCTCCTCGATAGCTTACCCTGGGGGAGCATAGACCCTCTCAGCGCTACTGAGAGCATGCTGGCATACATCATGACTTTAGATAATGAACAATGACACAAATGATGTATCGTACATGTAGCGTGCAACAATCTCAATTGCTAAACGATCAAATGATTTTCTTGTTCGCAGTCATTATTTACACTAGAAACATGCCGCTTGTTACTACTTTAAACTGAGATTAGGTACTAACGACGGCTGCAATGTTAAACGTTTCACTGACTACTGTCCTGCGTGTTTATGCTGCTATCACCATTACTAGCGCAGCGATCATAAACTACCACCAGTCCGCCCAGCCAGTCTGTAAACCATCGATAAATGGTGTGAATGTCACATGCCATCCTACTTTACACGGCAGACTTTCTTGCGCTGACAATTTTGTTGACGTCGCATCATGGAACACTCAGTTACTCAGCTCACGAATCGCTTCGACGGCACTGTGGCTCGACGCTGGCTGTACGATACGCGTTTGCTTGATTCTTGCAGCTAGGCGCGTTGAGTGATCATAGTATTAGCACTATTCGCTTCAATGTACTCTCACACGCGTGTCTAATGAATAACCGGCTCAAGAACCAGGCCGCGCAAATCCATTTAGAAATGTGGGGGGACACGAAGTAGCGAGCACGCGAAGGGGGGGTCTGGGTTTATATAAAAAATTTGATAATTAGACCGCCCTCAGATGGCGTTTTCTGCGCGAGTAGGGGGGGGGGGGTCCGGACTGCGAAATTTTTTTTCCCACTCGAGTTCCGGACCCACCATAGATAGTGTTTTGTAATAAATGGTTCTTATATATAGTGGTTCGGATTATAAGTTGATCGGTAGTGTTTCGCGGATAAGTGTTAGTGTTAGCATATGTATCTGAAAGCAGTTTGTTCTAAAAAAAATCACGCTTATTTAGGAAGGCAAACAAATTTTCGAGAGGAAATTTCTGCTCGGCAAAAATAGAGGGGCGCGCGCTGGTTGCTCTCCACCCATTGAATCTGTGCATGCTACCAGGTGTGTCTGCACCGTAGACAGATATTATTAGGTGTGTCATAATATGGACTGTAGTTTATATTATGACACTCCTGGTATTATAGGGTGTCTACGGTGCGCGACACGTTGCGACAAAGCGCGCAGTCTGAGTCGCTTGCTCTATCCCAATGTTTCTCAGCAGTATTTTGCCAAGCACCCCCAGGGCTTGCTCATTTGGCGGTTGTGAGTCTACTGAACCTTATGTTAAAATGTACGTGTACGGATAGCAAAGTTAATTCTCTGTCTGTCCTTGGTTTCTAAAGAAATCTTAAGTCAACGCAGACTAAATAGGTCTATAGCGAGCCACCTTACAATCCTTTCAATACCGACCCCAACCCCTTTCCTTCCCTTTTCTTTCCCTTTTTCTTATGAAACATTTATTTAGACGGTATGAAGGCAAACTAATAACTTTAAATAGGTACATCCATGATTAATTAATTAATTAATACATTTTATCGACTGTGTGCTTGTATATACACATATACAAGCATTATATAATATAATAATATTATATTATATGCTTGTATATGTATTATATAATTGTATATGTATTATATAATATATTTCATATAACATACTTGTATATCTACTGCTTCGTTCGCGAGTTATCCACGGTAAGGTTTCAGACCAATCCCGACAGTTTTTTTTTTATAATGTCTTTTATTTCCAGAAACACATAATAATATTATGTACATTACATTATATTATACGTTATACAGAATATCTACAACACTGTGATGGTAACATAGTTCAGTGATGGTACAAACAGGTAAATGGCATAAACAGTTTGATTACATCATATGGCATTACAAAGTAGTGCATATATGAGCGTACTAATTCTTACTTCGTTACAAGAAGTTCATAAATGAAGGTAAGCATAGTAGTAGCTGTAAGCCTTGAGCATGAAAAGTACAATTTTACTAAACATCATGTAATCTTTTATGACAAACATGTATATCCTACTCATATCATATATATTTACATGCACACACACACACACACACGCACACGCACGCGCACGCACACACCCAATACCGACAGTTGGCTCAGATAGGTGTTCAGCCTGTGCAGGTGGCCGGATGTGTACGTATAGGTGGTTAAAGTAATCATGACAGTATGTTATTAGCAAAAGAACTGTCAGAACATACTGTAAATGCAACATAAAACAACTATGGTAAAATAAAGTTCGTGTGTGTGTGTGCGTGCGTGCGCGCGCGTGCGTGTGTGTATGCGTGTGTTAGAGAGAGAGAGAGAGAGAGAGAGAGAGAGAGAGAGAGAGAGAGAGAGAGAGCGAAAGGCTCGAGAAAGGGGGAAGAGAGAGAGAGTGTATGCATGTGAGTGTGTGTGTGCGCGTGTGCGTGCGTGCGTGCGCGCGCGTCTGTGTGCTTCCCTGCGTGTGCGCGTGTGTGCGTATGTGCGCGTGTGTGTGCGCGCGTATGTGCATGTGCGTGCGTGCGTGCGTCAGGGCACAAACTTCGTGGATACCTACGTGACATTTCAACGCCAGTGCGAAGCAAAAATGTTCAGCCCTATAAATGCTATACGTAAAAACAGGAGCGTATAATGACAAATTGTCATTATACGCTCCTGGTAAAAACAAACTAAGCAGACCTTGCCGTAGGCTTTTTCGCCAAGCGATCGCTCCCACGAGCATGAAACTTACCCACACCCATCCTGGACCTTTGCTGACTATTTTTTTTATTATAATTATAATTGTTCCTAATAATCTGTAAATCTCTTGCCGCTCGGTCAAACCTCTAGCTAGGTGGAGGTTGAGGATGTCTATATCCGAGGGTAAGAATATACACTTATATGATACGAGCGTAGTTGTAGCAATATCTGCTACTCTTTGCGTAATTATTAATTTCCTCTTTACGATTTTGCACGCCTAACCTAGTATTCAGAAGTAATAACTAGTAAAAGGAAAATATACCTGTTTACTTGTTCAATTTTGTTTCTTTAAGTTATTATTACCGAAAGATGGCGCAACGATGCTATATTTTGATAATGGGGTTATAAAAGGATACTACACCCTAGAATTTTACGGTATATTATTATAGTAATTGCATAAGTAATAGTATATGCCTACAAATTTCTATAATCATGCATTCACATTTGTCATAAAACAACAATTAGTTTCGAAATCTTCATTTTTGGGCGCTGACATGACACCCCGCGATTGTGCTACCACCCTGACAAAGTTGAGCTTTTGCCGATTTATTTAGCACGTTACAGACCGAGGGCTAATCACAAAAGCAACTATATTTATATAATGCAATTATATTTATACCTAACTGCTATTTAACCGAACTATGGACAAATTAATCTATATTATAACTGATTCTAAAAGTTGTTTATAAGATATTGCAATCCTTCTCCTCGGTTTCTTCGGATTACTGTATTTTGACTGTTACAAAAGGAAATAAGGTCGCATGTCTGTAGAAATAATGCTTAGACCAATTTATTAGCCCTAATAGTTTTAATGGACTCTGGTATACTGTAATATCGTTCGCACAGACGTGCCAACGCTGTTTTTTACGCTGATTATTCCCAATACACTCGGACAATCAATCAATACACGCACGACTAGACACGCACACGCAAATACTGTATGAGGCAACACATCTACCGTTCTAGTCCCTTTCTCACCTCCCGTCAATTTCTCTCAAAGATATACATAAAAAAACTTACAAAGTTGCGTATAATATCACGTAAGCACATTTATTTTTTACAAATACACGTACAAGTTGGCTAGCGCGTACGTACATAACTGTCAGGACCGAAGCAAGAGCCCACGATACTACCTAACACGTTATATATATATATATATAACACATAGTGCATAATATAGTCAAGCATGTATATAACGATTTGATAACAAACGATCAATCTTCATGTGCGATCAGATTTATTCATCGTCTATAGATCTACCGATACTGATTCTCCCAGCTACCCCAATGCACACACATACAATGCCCACACCTGAAGGCTAATCTGACGCCGATAACGTTGCCGTGGCAACACACTGAAACATACCAATCCATGTTCGACCGAAGCGCCGAAACGTCCCCTCTTTCTCTTCCCCTCCTCTCTTTCTTTGTTGCTCGCGGGAACCACCCACTCCCTCGATCACACAACAATTGCGCGTGGCGGCGGCGGCGGCGGCAGCGTAGGTACCCTGCTCTGTTGCCCACCCTCTTCCATCGATCGCAGTCTCTCTCGTTCTCTCTCTCGTTCTCTAGTGTTGTCTCCGCGCTCGCCGCTCGTGTCCGTCCGTCCGCTCAAGCCGTCAGAATCTGCGCAAAACGCAGAGCAGTGTTCACCGTAAGTTATTCCCACGAGCTGCGAATCGGCGCTGGGCGACGGTATAGCCTGTGTTCGACTTGTCGCTAGGGTTTGCCCGATCGCACGCGCAAACCCGACTGAATGGCAGGCGTAGACACAGACTCGGGAGAGCACACAGGGCAGCCGTACACGCACGTACATGTACGAAGCGCCCCCAGCGGCCTAAGCCAATGAGAATTGGAGCGTGCCACTTTCGAGGCAGGTCGGGGGAGGGGGGGAGGACATGTGACTCACGTGTACATGCGTGCAATTACTAATTAGGGATGTGCACTGCTGAAATGTTTGACATGCACATATATATGGTAACACATGCAGCTGGTGAATATATGATGGTTGTATTAACTACGTTTAAATATGATCGCCTGGAAATGTAATAGTTGCACAGAACAAAGCACATTTTCATCTGACTGAACTGTGCCTTGCCCATGGCCCCATCTAAATACACATTATCTAAAACTCCCATAGATCGCTGTATCGTGTATGCAGATGCACACATAACTGCTTCTACATTCTAGTTTAAAGACATGTAAATCACTATATACAATAATGTGACCCAACAACTCTTGTTGGGTTACATTACTGTATCTAGTAAATCGTGTAATGTCATTGATCACTCATTCGAGCAAGATGATCACTTTGCCAATAAATTCATAATTGAGTGGTTTATTGTCATCGTATGTTGTAGCCCATGCTGCTTTAGTTACTATAGCCTTCACAGAACAACACAGTGCAGTGCAGATAAGGCTAACTGCATGAGGCTCATAGGGTCTATGTCCCCCAGGGTACTGCCGGACTGTACCCTGGGTAGGGTTCGATATATCGGAACATATCCTGCATGGTAACTATATGATATGGTTAGGGTTAGGGTTAGGGTTAGGGTTAGGGTTAGGAAGTAGGCGTAGGCGACTCCCAAAACCGACCAGGCTCTCCGACTGTCACACGTCGTAGGAACGTGTCAACGTAGTGTTACGCGAGAAGGGAACTTGTGGCTAGCGACTCCCTAGACTCGTTAGTGGAGTAGGCGATGTACGGTCCGGCATATTAGATAGTACAAGGGTACGTTCCGATATATCGAACCGTACCCAGGGTACCCTCCGTCTCCGATAGTACCCGGGGGGACATAGACCCTCTCAGCCTAACTGAGAGCCATGCTGGCATACATCATGACTTAGATAATGAACAATGACACATGATGTATCGTACATGTACGTGCACATCTCATTCTAACGATCAATTATTTCTTAGTTCCAGTCATTATTTACACTAAAACATGCGTTGTTACTACTTTAAACTGAGATTAGTACTAACGACGGCTGCAATGTTAAACGTCACTGACTACTGTCCTGAGTGTTTGATGCAGCTATCACCATACTAGCAGCGATCATAACATACCACCAGTCCCCCAGCGAGTCTGTAAACCATCGTAAATCGGTGTGAATGTCACTATGCATCACTACTTACACGGAGACTTGCTTCGCTGACAATTTGTTGACTTCCATCATGGACACTCAGTTACTCACTCACGATCGCTCGACGCTGGCTGTAGGGCCTACGATACGCGTTTGTTGATTCTTGCACTAGGGCGCCGTCTAGTGATCATAATTATTATATTACAATATTCGCTCTCAATGTACTCTCACACGCGTTCATGAATAACTCGTCAGAACCATAACCTGTGCCGCTTACACAAGGGGCAACTACCATTTATACATATATGATATAGTTTTAATCAAAAATTAATGTTTATATATATATGTATACATATATATGTGTGTCCGTGTGCGGCAGCGTGCGTGCGGTGTACATATGTGTGTTGCAGAGAAGCATTTGCATGGCATTTACAGGAAATTGTCGGCAATAATAAGCGAAAGAGAGTAGAGAAACTTTGGTAGTAAATAGATTTCGTATTTATTTAGCATTATATTTTATTGAAACGCTCCAAATGCATGTGGCTGTGGGGCAGGTTTGCGCGATGTCGCCTCTCTCTATTCAGATTCTGTATTAGCGTATCCGAGTTGTGTTGTTCTCCAGCCAGCTATAGAACCTCGCTGCTCGCGCTATCAGGGAAGTAAAGCGATTGCTGGCGTCATTATGTTCGCAGTTATTATGGAACAATGTTACGTAGATATGCGTACAGTGCGCGCGGACGTGCGTGCGCGTACAGTGCGCCGCGGACGTGCGTGCGGGCGCGTGGCGGGCGTACTGTTTATCTGACTTGTGAGATGTGTGTGCGCTGTATGTACGTGCGTGCGGTGGTACGTGCGGCGGGGCGGTGCGTTACGTTTATATGACTTGTGTCGATGTGTGTGCGTGTATTTGTAACGTGCTGGCGTGTGCGGCGCGGCGCCGCGTGCGTTGTTATCTGATTTTAGTGCGGATGTGATGTGCGTGTGTGTGCATGTTTGTGTGTGCTGGTGTGTGTGGTGTGTGTGTGTGTGTGGTGTGTGTGCCCTGTGTTGTGTGTGATTGTTGTGTGTGTTGGTGTGTGTGTGTGTGTGTGTGCTGTGTGTGTGTGTTGTGTGTGTGTGTGTGTGTGTGTGTGTGTGTGCGTGTGCATGCGTGTATGTATATGGAACCTTATAACGACATCTCTTATAATGCCGACTGTTGAGCGACGAGTTGTGCAGCTCGGGCTGAGAAAGACTGCATAATATCAGGAGTTAATAAAAGACAAATTATTAACTTGTTGTCTTTCATTAACTCCTGTCTTTTATTAACTCCTTATTAACTCCTTAAGAGTTGTCTTTTATTAACTCCTGATAATATGTAGCTTGCTAAAAGAGGGGTGACGGCAGACTGAGGAAAGACGGCAGGGAATTAAGATAGCTGAGGCGCGGTAGAAGAAGGATGCTGAGCGAGGAACAAGGGAGGCAAGGGAAAGGACGGCAGTGGCGGAATTATGAATTTGAATCCTACAGGCTAGGGCGCTCTCCTAATTATATACACAGGTCTACTGATAACAATTTATTACATATATTTATGCTGAGATACCCCCTAACCATATTAGATGCATATTCATCACAAAATATAACTCTTCTGGTGAGATATTGCGCATGCGCTAACACACTAACGTGGCCAGATTTTGTACTGACTGGTATGTGCAGCGGGGACCATACATACATACATACATACATACATACATACATACATACATACATACATACATACATACATACATGCAT